GAGCGAAAAGGTGAAGGCAAAGGAAGCTCTCTTGGCTTTCTGCTCTCTGCCACTCACTGCCTGCAAAGAGAACTGCCGCACAGTGCGCGTTCGGGGTGTCTGTTGCACTGCCGGTAGTGCTCTGCGGCTCCACTTTCATTGTTTGAAAGAGTGGCGGCAGTCGGCAATGCAATAACACGCGATAAGGTGGCGGTGCGCAGGCCTGCTGAGTATGACGGTTACGACGGTCTGCAGCCATGTAAGCAAGCAAAATCGCATCGTCATCCTGTGGCATAATCGAGCGGTGGGCGGTCAGTCGGAGCAGTGGGCGGCAAAGCCACTGCCGCCCACCGTGAGGAGAACCCTGGCTATGGGTATGCAGGAATCCTAACACAGCATAGTTGCAAGAATAACACTTGGAAGCTGCTCATGTCAAAGTCATATTTAAAGGCCCCATTAAAAAATGTCATCAAACACGCATGTATTGCAGTTGGGGGGAGGAGGGGAGCACTTTTCCACAGTCGTATCAAAAGGAATGCCCATCAGCCAATCACAAGCCATGGCCTGCTACATGTTGGACGAGCGGAGCAATTTTTCCTGCCGCATGGGAGGTCATAGTTTGCGATTGGCTGATGGGCACCCCTTTTTACTTGAATGCAGAAATATGCTTATCCCCAAACTGTGACGAGTGGATGTGGGGTCATATTTTTATTAAAGAAATAAGATTCACATAACAGTCATTTCGGGGTTACAGTGAAACCCATTTAGAACGAACCCACGTACAGCGAATTATTGTCGATATCGAACTCACAAAAACTTTAAATGAAAACGCACGTAAAAAGTACTTCTTATAACGAACAACACATTGGCTATATCGAACTTTTCCCGCCAGGAAGGCTCCCAAAAACGCGCAAACAATCGTCTTCTAGCTTGTCCCTTACGCCCCCCTCCAAAAAAAAAAAAAAAAAGTAGGAAAGAAAGAAAATTTCAAAAGCTCAAGCACCGAACAAAGTTGAGCGAAGTGAAGCAATTCAGAAGGGGAGAAAGCTGAAAAAAGAAATGCTCTGCACGCACGCACAGAAAAAAAAGGAACTTTTCAGCCCAAAGCAGTTGCCCACGAACAGAAGCGATTCAGAAGGAAAGATAAGGAAAAAAAAAATCTAATCGCATGCAAAAAAAAATCAACACGTTGTTACAAGGCAGAAGCGAAGAGATGAGGAAGAAAGAGAAGCTCTCGCCTTACAACGAACGCATCGTGGAAGTTTGTTTTAAATGGTTTTTGCTATATCGAACTACTTGCTATATCGAACTGATCGTAGCGTTTCCTGCTGTTTGTTATAAACGGGTTTGACTGTATCTAGGGTGCTTGAGAGTGCTTAGATCAGGTTATCGCGATAAAAGACACTCAAAAACTCCTTTAGTGCAACTTTAATTTCTTGTCCATACTTAATTGTCTAAATAGTTTTTTTTTTTTGTTTTTTTTTTGTGAGCAGTGCATTATTATCAGTCGTTTTCCTAGCCTGTGACTTGCCAGGACTTAAAAAAGGCTCACAATATTTGAAATAAATAAACTGCCAAGTCAGTAGACTACTTCCATAAATCCGTCACCGCACGTTGCATTCTGGGAACCTGTGGGCCAGGAGCGAAGCATGTATGGATTTTGCTTCCCACTGATTCCCACAATGCATAGCTTGGCATTATGTTGCGATGAGGCGCTTCGAGCTTTGTAATAAGTCTATTCATGTATAGTCCTTAGAGCATGGGTGCACAACTCAAAAATGACGCGGGACAAAAAAATATTTATTGGGAACTGCTTGGGTTTTCAATATCTGGCATCATCGCACTTGTTGCCGTCTTGAGCACATCTCGCAGTGTCATGTCTGTGGACTGCACGGAAAGTGCCTGCGGGCCACATGTTGTGCACCCCTGCCTTAGAGGGACAACATTGAAGCAAGTAATTAGTTTTAGTACGTGCTAAAGTAAGATGTCAGGTAGAAACAACATTTTAAGATAGGCAATGAAAAATACAGTGAAGTATGAAAGATGGTGATCCAGTTTAGTTCTTGCACGTAAAGATAATGGAATTCCTTTTTGTTCTTGTGTCTGCTCACAAGAACAAAAGCCTCCATATTTTATTAGTTCACTTCTAATCTTTCTGAACCAAGCATTGTATTTTTTAAGAAATAGGCCACGCACATAAAAGTAATTTGGGGATTTTTAGGATGCTTAGTGCACAACTACTTACGTAAGAAGACAAACTCAAATGCCTTTTTTGGGTTTCTTATAGGGGCAATAAGCCACTGTTTTGTGGTAGTCTATTTATGGTAATAACTCAATCTATGCGCTCTAAGCATCCTAGAAAACCGAACGTTACATTCATGCGTCTCGAATTTCTCTATTAAAATCGGTATAAAAGTAATCGATTACCTTGGAACCATTGCAGACACCTTTAGGCCTTGGGTTTTTCTTCTCAACAGTTGGCAGGATGTTCCTGGGAACGGTAGTAAAGCTTTGAGCCCAGTAACCAATGGTGCAAGGGTATAGGTCAAGTAAAAATATTCTAGGAAGTAAACAACCTTCCATCCTTACGAGATTTCCTTCCTCCTCCTCTACTCACACGCCAGAAACTGTCTTTTACAAGCATCTATTTGCATGACCTTCCATTGAATGGGACAGCATGAATCTGCCACAGAAGGTTAATATTATTTACTGTCAAAATGTTACGTTTACCCACTATCATGCATCTAGGATCCAGAGTTTGCGGCATACAAAAGAGAACGTAATGATAGCAAATGACAAGGAAGAGACAGTGTTTGCACCCAACAACATCGACTTGGGGTACTCAGCCTGACGGTTCATGGGTCGAAAAATTCGAGGGCAAATAGAATTTCAGGGTTCAAGCATTTCTCGGCTCTTGTCCTTTGCCAGACATCCTCCAGAGATAGGAGTGATTGGCTTCTCCACAGCCTACGGAAAGTTCTATAGTCAATGACGGGATAAAAATGACAGGACGTCTCTTTCGAATGCCCCAGCCTCCAGAACGTGGCTGTTGCCCTCCACCGTGCTTTCACTGTACTGCACGTTTGGAACTCACGGGACATCGAAGGGTTGTCGGAGGTGGGAAGTTTGTGCGGGACAGTTGACTATAGTTATGGCAGCCATTTTTCCTGAACAAAGTGCAAACCGCCTGCCATACAAAGACGGCAGATGGGGCTCGGAATGTCCTCTAGAAGGTGGGGTGACCACCCGTCCTGCGACTCGCGGGACTGTCCCGCATAGATAGAGGGCTGGTGTCCCGCGCCTCGCAAGAAGTTTCTGAATCTTTCAAATGTCCCGCATTTCATACTCGTGAAATTCACTCTGCAACTTATGATGCTGCTGAACAATAGGGCATGGGGAAGTGTGGAGGTTGCTGGTGATTGTGTCAATTGCAATGGTACACCATTTTCTATCCAAGCATTGCGGGAAGCGACTGTCGTTCTTGCAGTAAAACTGACGCGCAAGCTCCGTTGTGCCTCTCCCCTTGGTGGCAAAATATTGTAAGAGAAAATTGCTCGCCAAAACTTTAAATATAAGATCATGTAATTATTTTCAAATCATTGTTTCAATGCAAAAGGGTTGTCATGGATTATTTTTTTTAGTGAAGACAGCTACACAAGGCAAAAACCCTGCAACTCACAACAGTTGAAAAAGAACATAATATTAAAAATTTCTGTAGGACCATGTTGATAAAAGTAAGCGTTGGCAGGAAACAATAACCCGAAAAGATTCACTGTTTCTTGTTTCCATTTGATGTGTTGAGTTAGGCTACAGTCGGTTTTCATGTTTTCAACTTCGACACATTTAATAACACATTTGGCATAAAAATATATCTCTGGGAGTGCAAATTATTTGAGCTTAATCGCTGCAATACAATTAGCAGGTGTATAAACAGCACAGGATATTAAATGTGTTAACGGAGCCTCGGTTCGTGGTCTGCAAGTAAATTTCTTCTACCCCCCCGCTGCCCTGCAACCTGCCCCGCCTGTCCCGCATTTCGCTAGCAGGAAGGTGGTCACCTTACTAGAAGTGCTATAGAGGACCTGCACAAGTTGCACCATCAAAAAGTTGAATAGTGGTAGTGTAGTGTGCGACACCTCCAGCCACGGGTTCACCATACTAGAAGGTAGATAAACAAACACTCGAGGCACGAGACACATGCCACGGAGGGTTTGGGAGATAGGGAACGGTCTGAGCCACCATAAGGAGCGGACGTCTGTCGTTTTGTTTCCTCATTCAAATTACTGGACTAATATTTTATTGTTCCTCACAGTAGACACCCTCAAGTCTGTAAGAGGAAGAAACTAGTTCAGGAACAGCATCTTTTTTCTACCCCTATGGCATTCCTTCTGCAAGATGAAATTTGTAGCATAGCTATAGGAGGGAACCTTCCAGGCAGTCTAATTATGGTGGTTTGCCAAACATTTTTTTTTTACTGATAACCAGTCAAATAATCACTAAAAGTAATCCCTAAAAAGAAGCTTGAGGATATATGTAATTCAGGGGGTTCCATCCACTGGGTCGAATCTTGAACCATAACTCTATTCAGCAAAAAGCTGGTTAAAAGCGAAGTATGCTCACTCTGAACTACCGCGGAGAAAGAGTTTGTTGCAATGTACTGCTGATGAGGCAAGGTGGGTTGTGAGCACCATTCATTGGCAAGCACATGGTAATGTAGCCAGTACCAATATTTCTTGTTGAGAACAGAAATGATGGTGCTAGCTTAGACGTTTTGCCTGGTAAAACTTTCCTCTAAAAATATGGAAAGGGGTGGCTCATATTTTTCTATATTTCCAGGCTAACCCTTTGGTGCAAGATACATTTTGGAACCGGTTAAGGATATGTTCTTTGTTGGCTGTGCCTCCGTGGAAGCATTGTCATTTGTCCTCTACTTTCTATATTTGTTTGTTTTACTTTTTTTTTTTGCCAGATAGCTGTATCAGAGTCACTGACAGTGTTCCTAATGCCTGGTACCCTCCTAGGTATAATGTGGAGTGGCGGCGATGTGCCCAGCAGCTCGCAGCCACCAGAGGATCCAGGTAGGAGTTACTCCAGTCTTCACATGCAGTGCATGAGGAGTAAAGCACCGTGACGTTATGAATCTCTGAAAAGTATGATTGATGGGAGACAAAATGGCCATACTGGCACTGGACCTTCAACTCTGCGTTTACTCAGTTTTATGCTCCTCTTTAAAAGACATAGATTTAGAAAATAAAATTTGTGGGCAAATGTAAACATTCATGAAACATAGGCTTGGTCATCATCATTTGTAAAAATAGAAGGGGTGTTCAGAATTGAATATATACTATAGTTGATTTGTTATATGAATGTTTATATTGTGCAAACTGTCACTCTGCCTCTGAATTGCACCTTATATCTCTTCTATAAAGGAGCAGTTTGGCTAGTGTAGCATACTTGCCATTTTGCATTTCTTAATGTGCACATGATGTACGTAGTTGTTGCATAGATGGTTGCTAGTGTACCATATTCAAACCGACAGGAGCGATAATCAAACTCATAAACTCCAGTTTGTGTCTCCAGGGGCTCTATGTTGGACCCTCGGGAAGAAAGTTGGGGAGATCCCTGACTGCCACGATTGGCCAGTGCCGCACATCACCTTGACACTGGCCAATCGCTGTGTGGTGCTGGCCAACCACGGCGGTCGGCGATCTCACCAAGTGTTGAACTTGGAGCCCCAGTTCTCCACACTGGAGACACAAAGTGAAAACTGACTGATAACAGGCTATCATCTGACGATGCTTTTCTCTGGTCCGTCTAGTCTGATGATTACGGTACGATCGTTGCTGTTGGAGTGTTCTCGAAAGAAATGCGTCTTCTCTGGTGAACGGCACTCGCAGGCAAGCGACGGTCCTTGACCCATGTGTGCCCAGTGTGCGGGAAAGCGTATGTGAACGAAGGTTCCCTGCGCAAACACGTCAGCAGCCACCCAGAGATGGCGTCGCTGGCGTCCCCGATCCGCATGTGGCCCTGCACGGTGTGCCACAGCGTCTTCACACAGGAGTCAGGTGCGCCACTCATGTGCGGTCTGTGCACATGCCAGACATGGCGTGCATGGCATGCCATAAGCTTGGCAGACAGTTTGAGAGTGTGGGAAAACCTGTTCATTATAACAGCAGTTTCTCTTACAAGTGGGTTGCATGTATACACTGCGCGACACTGTTAGCACGAACATTACTTTGGAAAGGTGGACAACAAAATTTACCACTTAGGCTGGTACTAATTGAGCACTTTCTACCACTATAGTAGTTTTGATGACAGTCTTTCATTACTGAGAGAAAAACAGAAAGCCGGCGATGGCTTGTTCGTGCCAAGAGTGTCTTGGAGTGTACAAGGATTGTTCAAGCTCGACCGGGATTTTTGTCCATAAGAAATCGCTGAACATGTAGCATTACGAAACTTGCGGTGGACGTTACGGCAATCCTTCTTGAACATCGAGCACCCGGAACAAGGTATTTTATGCATGCACTGCAGTTGCAGCTATCATGGTGGCAAACAATATTTCTAGCTTTGGAGCAGTGGTGGATAATCAAATTTCAAGTGAACGGTAATGTTAAACCACCTGAAGTTTTCAGAAGATTGCAAACAGAGTATGGGTCAAGCACAGCATCATAGAAAAGATTGTATGAATGGTTTCTACAATTTCGCAAAGGATGACAGCCGGTGGCACGTGAACCCTGCGGACACCTTCCGGCTGCAGGCATTTTGTTTGCAGCCGGAAGCAGTAACGCAGCCTGGGTGTTTCTACGCCAAAGAAATCGGGGAGCTGCCAAAAACGATGGCAGTAATGCCTGGACGCCAACGGGCAATACTTAAAAAAACTGACAGATTCCTGCTCGTCGGATTTTCCATTGCCTCTGTGGTAATAAGAGTCCCGGTCAACCTTGAACGACCCTCGCACATAGCGTGCGGCGTCAATCTCCCTGCGGCTCTCTCTCCTGTCGGGGTTTCACAGGGTGTTCCTTGCGTTTGGCCGTCCTGCCACAGGGCTCCTGCACCACATGGAGCACATGCGCATGGACCCCAAGCACCAGTTTGCAGCCCAGTACCTGCTGAGCCGAGCAGCCGCAGAGCGCAGGGAGAAGGAAGGGGGGCCCTCGACCGCTCCACAGATGCTGTCCCCCTCACAACAGCCACAGCAGCAGCCACAGCAGCAGCAGCAGCAGCAGCAGCCACAGCAGCAGCCACAGCAGCAGCAGCAGCAGCAGCAGCAGCAGCAGCAGCAGCAGCCACAGCAGCAACAGCAGCCGCACGGCGCGGGGAACAACAACGTTGCGGCAACAGTGGGCGTGCTCACCGCCTCCTCCCTGGCGGCCCTGCAGGCTAGCCACATGGCGGGACACTGAGCCAGGGCACGCCACACTGCGGGTGCGTCCCTTTCGCTCCCTTGTACACCCGCGGTTGATCCGAAGAAAGAAGCTCAATCTCGTTTAAATGCATTTCTAGGGCCACCAAACTGCAAGATGGTGCGCGTTTGTCTGTAAGCACCTTGATAGCTAAATTTAGCAAGGACTCTCTTCTCTGCTGAATTTACCGGAAAGCAATCTGAATTGAGCGTGAAAACCTGAAGGTGTGAAAGTAGTTTGGGAGAAGATTGACTGGAGTTGCCAACACCCTGCTAGTCACGTTGCCAGAGTACATGCTAGGCCTGTGAGATTGGTTGGTGGCTAACCTAATAATAAAAGGATTGTGTGGATATTTATACAGCGTGTAGTTGGTCAGCTATTTCAAAGTTGCAAACTAGTCACCCGCTGTAGATGAGCAATTTAGCCAGTGCAGTAAAACCGCTGGCCTGGGGTCTTTGACGCGCGCCTCACAGTAGTGATACACGACCGCACGCCGGTACGATGCTCGTCCAGATTGAAACGAGTAGGGGTGGGAATTGAACCCAGGATCCCTGGGCTCTACAGCGCGTGCTTTCGCTCCAGGTGCTCCGAGCTGGTGTGCGCTAACCTGCTCGCCCACCAAACTCCCCCTGGCTAACCTTCTCAAAGCTCAACACTGAAAAATTGTTTTCCACCCGGCTGAAAATTGGTTGCCAGCTTACATTTTTTTGTACTTGCACGTTTTTCTTTCTCATCCAAACTCTGAGGGAGCTAACTCCCCCAGGATGCAGGATGGGTATCCTACTTTCTGGTTGTATGCTGTTCTTTGAAGCAACAATCTAAAACTGTTTAGGGGGGGACACTACCTGGGAATGTCAACTTTTAAATTGCTCACTCAATCTGAATAATATTTGTAGGTGGTGTTTGTAGTATATAGAAGTAGGGTATGCGAAGTTGCAGCCCTCTGAACCTATTTTATGAGGTACTATGCCCTCAGGACAAAGTAATGCATAGCTTTGCATGGAATCTGCTCAATGAATCTATCGTTGATAAATGGTGTTGATAAACACATATTGTTGTGGTGGGATGCATACTAAAATACCTGTTGCCAGCTAATTTTTTTTTTTAAATATGCATTTTTCAAATAAAAATATTTTACGAAAAAAAAAAAAGTTTTTTCTTTTACATTTACAAAGTTTTGCAAATTAAAATTTTTCATAATAAAGAAACATGAAAATGCAAAATCTAAGTTCATAGTAACCGGCTCCATGAAATTTGGGCATATAAGCTGCAAATATTAAGTCTCTATAGTTTCATAGTGAAACCACAGTTTTTTTTATTAAGGTGGGATGGGCTGCCAAAAAGCTGAACTGAGAGAAACTCACTTAAAACTTCAAATCCACTTTTCTTTATTTTTGTCAACTTCTTTCCTGAAAAGAGTTGTCTGGGATGTCTTCACGGGTGAACTAGAACTTTCCAGCTCCATATGTTGGTCCTTCTTCGATCCTCTTCTGCTCATTTGCGATGACTTCGAGTTTGGGACATTTCTGGACGGTCTTAGAGGTGTCCAGTGCCTTCACCTTGGCCTTCAGAATCTTCTGCTGGGTTGCCTTCCTGGTGTGCTCCTCGTGGTGGCTTCCTGGGCACATGCCGATCTTCTTGAGGATCCTCTCAAAACCCTTAAAAAGGAAGTTGTATTTGAGAGCAGCCATGACCACAGCAGTCTCCACTATCCTCCGCGATGCGAATTTCATCTTGTGGCATCTCTTCCAGGTGAGCACGTTGAATGACTCATTCGCATTTTGAGTCTTTATTATGCAGCACCTTTGAAGCAGGCTCTGACCGGATAGCCGGTTGTAGATGGGTACCAGCTTCTTTGCAATGTCCCTCGTGAAGGCTGGGCGATGTGGGCATGACACAGACGGTTTCCCAACAGCAACCGGTGCATTGTGGCGGTTTTAGTGGCACCGCAAGTCTTCTCCGCTAGGGCAAGCCAGATGCCATGGTGCTTCATCGGTAGAGTATGAGTGCAAGAGACTTGCGTACACACCTTTCTGCATTTTGCTGACGTCAGGTGCGTTCCCTTTCAGAGCAGTCGCATAATAGTTTGTTAGCTTTCTCGTCATGATGTTAATCAACTTCCCCTTCTCTCCCCAAAGCCTTTCTTGCTCTTCTCAAACTTTTTCATGCCACTGTACATCCTCTTGGCCACATAATTGACACAGTCTTCCTTCTGGATGTCCTTGTCATAGAGGCCAAGACCAGCAATGTGCATAAATGCCTTGCTGTCACCATCACTTATCATGGTGACATACTGCAGCTTGTGGAGCTCCAAAGATCTGCTGAAGATGACTCCTGCAGCCACAACCTCCATAGCATTTGACGATCCTCCAAAGTTCTTCTGAAAAACATATTTATGAGACTCCATCCAGGCCTTGTAGCCTTCTGCCTCCTCCTTTGGGCCCAGGTTTCATCCGTGACATTACTTGCTGTGAACGGAGAAGTCAAGCACAAAATCGGTTGTCACTTCAAAGACTGCGCCAACCCCGAAGTTAGGCGTGTGGCCACGCTTCTGCCAGGTACCGTCGTAACTGACGCAGACGTCGAGCAAGTCATTTGCATTGTTGACATGGTCTTCTCCATCCTCGGACACCTGAGCCCCTTTCACTGCGGTCGCTGCCTCCTGCATCACATCGCGCGCTGCTGCTATGGACGCTTCATGCACCTTCTCTGCAGTCTTATGATAGATCTTTAGATGCATCGGCAATGGAGCATTCATGTCCCCAAAAAGGTTCTTCAGCTTTGTGAAGCTGATGCCGCAGTCATTTCTGATGACACAAAGGTGCACGGGAAGCTAGCTCTGCCGGGTCTCTCCGACGGCCGCCGACTGTGGCGTCGTCATGATGTCTCCGCACACGACAACAAACTAAAGATTAGCTTCATGCCACTTTCCTTCAAGTCCAGTCCTTTTTACAGCAGTTGGGACACAGCAAGGCGCTCACCAATGTCTTCATAGCAGACACATCCACAAAACGATACCCGTTGAGCGCCGCGTCATGATTGTCGTCAGCTGGTTTTGGGAAGTCGGCAGGTCGGCCCAAAAGTCTGATCTTCCGCTCGAAGGTTGTCAGCTCATCCGCTTCCTTCGATACCGAACCACTTTCGGTATGCGGCATAGAAGAAAAGGCCTCCGGAGATGGTTTGGGCAACATCGTCGATGGGGCCGGGTCAAGAGCTTTGGAACATCAGCCACCTCTGCCTCTCGATTTCGTGAACCGAGAACGCTTATCGAAGCTTCCGTGCGCGTAGGCTTTACTCGGCGACATTTTCAGAACAAAAAAAGATTAGAAAGATTGAAGCGAAGCGGCGAGACGTAGCAGATATGACGATAACGTGGTCTGAAGTGTGACCACCGCAAAAGATCACATTATGGCTGAAAGCCAATCGTGGCTCTAGTTCCGGTTTCCCGACCGATGGGAAAACGGATTCAATCAAATTCCCTGTTATTCTTCCTGTGGAAGAAGTTTTCGTTACGAGGTTTCTGCCCATGCACACATACCCTTGACTCGTGTTTACTATATTTTACTAAAAAGTCAGAGAAACGGCTTTTCCAGCGAAAGTATGAATGCCACGCTAGGCCTCGCGAGCATGGCGCTGTACCGTACCGAAAACTGGAAAAATGGCACTTTCCTCGCGTCTTCCGCGAGCGCGCCGCACCTCGGACTACTGCAGAAGCATTGAAAGTGATTATTTTCTCGGTAATTACTGTGCGGAAGTTTACCAAATTCCGTCATTGGAAATTTGACAAACACATTGTTTGCCGAAAAATGGGCATTTTAGGGCCGTGTCTCCCTTAATGCTGAAAAGTATTTTTCTTGCTTCTTCTTTTTATGTTGAAGAATAGCAAGAGGAAGAAAAGGAGTAGAAAAGGTGTATATGTCTTCTTTTGAGCTCTAGTGCTCAGAGGGGACAATGCCACGTCGAGTGCAGGGGGGTGCAAATGTCTTCTCTCTGCAACCTTCGAGGGTACGATGTTTCGGGGTGTGCGTCGAAAGATATTTTTGCAGTGACAGCTGTTAGTGGGAACGTCCTCGGGGAATTGTGTTGCCATCCTTCGCAAAAACTCCCAGTACCTCGAGGGTGCACACGCAGCCAGAGCACATGTTGAAAAGCACTGAGCTCATGCTGGCGGCCAGGCATTCCTAAGAAACTCCATTTTAACTTTGACATTGGCTGTAGCTGACGCCTCATGCCGGTGCATGTGCACAAACATCCAACCAGATGAACTTGCATGCCGTATGGCAAGACCTCAGAAAGTCTGTAGCGGGTACGAAGGACATGACTTTCATGTATGGTGCCCTAAGGAGGCTCGGCATAGACGAAGTATGGATCAGGGATGGGAGTACAATTGAGAGCGGAGGAAAAAATGGTGTGAAAATCCTCAGAATTGTGGTCGGAAAGAGGCACAAGAACGACAATGACACCACAAAGATGGCAAATTACTGAAACACCGAGCATTGCTGTGAAACCTGTTGCGTGATAACAAAAAAGTACTGGGGTTATTTTTTCTTGGTAGTGAAGGGGGGGGGTTGTATTTACTGCTGATCATCTGGTGCGGATTACAGTAATGCACTCTTCGTATGCCCTGCAAAGATTCAGACATGCAGGAAGCTTTTAGAGCGGGGTTACAAAACCCCACTCTGGAATCTGCCTGTTTGTCTGGGAACATTCACTCTGTTAGATGCGTGCAGACATTTACATGTTTCTCTCTTATTTCTCAAACAGAACTTCTCAGGTGCAAGTCGCCAGGACAGTGTCCCTCCGGGCACAAATCGCAGCGACAGACAAGAGAGAAGCCATCCGACATCCCCGTAGCCACAACTTTCCGGTTTCACTCTTCTTTTTTTTATCCTCGTCAACTCTCCGTCTGTTTCTTCTTCTTGTGGTTTTTGCAGTTTGGCGGGTGGACAGATGGTTTTCATGACTTTGGAAAATGCGTGCAGAGGAAGAGACGGGCGTGTACAATGAGTTGGGTAGATCGACAATGTTTGCAGTCTCTGTGTTTTTTTCTCTTCTTATATATCAGTCTGGAGCAAATAGCTTTGGACATCAGCCTGGTTGACAGGTTGGCGTGGAGGAAGAAGAAACAAAATGGCGCTCAAGGCTTGCAACTTTGCCGGTGATGCGTGACCGCGGTCGACGTTTCAGTAGTGTGGTTCAATTCAAATTTTGAAAAGCACTTGTTGATCACTGTTTGCTTAGAGAACTGGCTTGTTGGATTCGCTGGAAAAGTTGAGTGATCCAAAAACATTAAAAAATAGAAAAAGACCAGGTTTTAGTATCTGTTACCACTAGTGTCATTGCTGCTTACACTGACAACATCCCGGCGATTTCAGTTCTTAGCTTGTTTTGGGGTTTGTAGAAGTCTGTGTGACTCAAGAAAAAAAAAAGAAGCCATGCCATAGTAGGGAGACGATGGGTGTTGGTGATGTGGTCTTACGTCTATTTCTTGCTCCTTCCGGTGTACATACAGTCTCAATGGGTCATCCCTGCCTCTTTTATGCAGCATTTCGGTTGCATGTCGAGTCTTCCTTTTCCGCGAGGTAGTGAGCACTTTGTGACTTTTATAAAATTTTAATTGTAGACAACTCTGATTCGTTATTGCCTTGTAGCTTGAACGAAAATAATTTTTTTTTATACTATGAACTATAGTGATTGGACTTTGAAATCAGCTCAAAATGTCCCAATCACGACTAGCCAGCTACATTCACGACATCAAAAATAATCATTCTCTCATTGATGGAAGACGGTGCAAACTGATTGCGACTTCTTAAATGAGTTCTCAGATATTCGTCAAAGCTGTCTCGATTTCTCGACGTGTGCCCACATTGTAATTTCTGTTTGGTTTTGGTGAGTTTGTTGCAGCAAACAGTCACTACAACCTTGAATGATGAATAACTGTTGTTTGAAAACAAAAACAATTACGAGCAATGCCACTTTTTTTTTGCATCAATTTGGACAATTTTTTTATGACTCATTCACAAACATCTCTTGATCCTCCTGCAGCCGAAACCAAATGCTGAATGAGGTAAATACATTTTTACGTTGCACTCGAGTTAATTTTTATGTTTGTTTCTGTCTCGTGTTTGTACATATATATATATACACATATCTATCGGATTAAACACCTAGGAACGCGTAGCACGAACCACTGGTGATCGAAATCAAAATCTTTATCATCTGGCAACTTCTGGCAACTTTGTCAGCTTCTTCACTACTAAAAGGAATGTTGCTACAAGGAAACTGTCCAAATTGTACTTGTATAACAACATCCGAGGTTCCATGTAACTGCCATTGTTGCTATTGATGCGCTTTAGCCAGTAGTATTCTGAGGTGCATTTTGTCAAAGTGTGTACATATGCTCTGTTGGTGTGCCTGTTTTCATTTCACATTGAGGCACATCCTTCATTCTGATTGTGTAGTCTTGGTAGCTTGAGATTTTAGCTTTCATCCCTTTTGCTTTGTAACGGTGCTGAAGTTTCTTTGGCAGGATTTAAGCACTTGCCCTCCCCCTCTGTAATTGGAGTGTAGCACCCGTATGTCTTGAGTTTGTCCTTTCCACTTGAACTTATTACGGTTTCAGAGCCAATAAAGCCTGTGCAACTTGAAGTTTGCTTTGTTATCTCCATTCCTGAGAGGATGAATCCGCATCGCATTGGAGAGAGCTAGTCGATGTATAGCGATCGAAGGAAAGTTTAGAGGGGCACCCTTTGCTGTGCTCTGCCTCTCTCTTTTAAAGCACGACCTGACCCTTAACAATAAATTTTTATAGCATCAGCTTAGCCCTTGTTTTATTACTATGAGCATGTTTCTGCAGTTCCCGATCTCAGCTCACAAGTGTCCAGGGTGAGACTTCGAAGGTTCAGTGCCAAACTAGCGAAGGGGCATCTGGCATGTTCCAACCCAGAACTCCAGATTAGATATGGGTGTCAAAAATGTCTGATTGCTTGGTGCCTGCACTGCAATATCTAGTTGATTCTCCAAATTCTGTACAGTATTTTGCAAAGATGGGAATGCCATATTTTCTTTCTGGTAAGCAAAAGTGGTAGAGGGAATGGAAAGAGTGGGAGGTTTGCCTGGACCAGTTGTCTAAGCGGGCTACCCCAAATGGTAAGCAAAAAAGAAAAAACAAACAAAAAAAAACCCGCTCACCAGATGTTTTGTTTGCTTTTTTTTTTACTTGTGCATATTTCCTTATGTTTGGCTATTTTACTACACGCTCATGAAAATCGTAATGCAAAGTACCACACTTCGTCCTGTGAACGTCTTTAGGATGTCCTAACGTCCTAGGGATGTCCTGTGGACGTTCGCAGGACATCTGTGCTGCTTGGGTAGTAAACAGGCGATCTAGTTTAGGTTGCACATCGCTAAAACCGGAGACGACGCAAAGAATGGGGACAGGGCACACGTCTTGCGTATCCTGTCTCCATTCTTTCCGTCGTCTCCGGTCTTAAGCGGCGTACAATCGATTGTGTCTAAATATTTCGCTGTGATAATTAAGGAGCAAAAAGCTTTACCATGGTGCATGTTTGCTAATCATTCGTTTCGCAGTAGTTTAGCTTAAAGGGCCCATGAAACGGATTTTGGGTTGGGATAAATCATTTTCGATTGGGACTTTACAAATAGTACATCGTTCAGTGGGCCAAAAGAAAAAAGGTAGAAAGACAAAAGCCTGACTTTCAGTGCGAAAATTTGAAAACACAGCGGACTATTTCGTACCTCCTCCCCTTCGTAAGCTATCTGCCTTTTCACTGTGATACATCCGCGGTCCCAAAAGCGCGTCATCGGGTCCAAACGCACGTCACGCAAAACCGGACCTCAGTTAGTCCCTTCACCCCTAAGCTGACATTGTGGTGGAAGCTACGTGCTTGCCGAACCAATCAGCCGCCTCCCTTTCATCACCTGTCCTCAATCTCTGCGCGTGGGTATGCGCGGAGGAGCGTGATCATGTGGCAAGTGTGGCTGGTCCAACGAGCACGTAGCTTCCACAGCACTGTCAGCTCCGGGGTGAACGGGTTGGGGAAAGCAACTTTTGCCTGAATTTTGAGCGACGGGCTAATCTTCTAGGGGGACAATGGCTCTGTCCGGGTACATGAACCAGAATCCGAGCAAGAGAGGCCTCCCCTCTTTTCGTCTTCTTGAACTGTTTGGTGGGATGCGCGATTATGAGTTGAGGAGGAAAGCTAAACAGGAAAAAGTTGGAAAAGCGTTTCATGACCCCTTTAAAAGGGTAGTTCAACGATTTTAGTGTTTAAAGAATTGGCAATTTGTATTTTTTTGTATTGTTTATCCATGCACAAGTGACCGAAAACGCGTCATCTTGCCCCGAAAGACTGCTACTCCGGTGCGTAATCCCAAAGAAGAAAACGAAATATTTGCCGATCTGTTTAACTTTCCTCCTCAACTCATAAATCTCGCATTCTACCACACAGTTCAAGAAGACGGAAAGGGGGGAGTCCCCTCTTGCTCGGACTCTTGTTTGTGTAATCCGGACACATCCATTCTCCTCCTAGAAGATTAGCCCACCGCTCAAAATTCAGACAAAAGTTGCTTTCCCACTTCGTTCACCCCGAAGCTGACAGTGTTGTGGAAGCTACGTGCTCCTTGGACCAGTCATACTTTTGTCACGTGATCTCGCTCTCTCGCGCAGAGAATGAGTCCGGTGATGAAAGGGGGCGGCTGATTGGTCCGGCAAGCGCGTAGCTTCCACCGCAATGTCAGCTTAGGGGTAAAGGGATTAAGTGAGGTGCGGTGTCGTGTGACGTGCGCTTGGGCCCTGGTGACGCGCTGCGGGGGCCCGGTTATGGTGGCTAGTAGCCCGGTGACGCGCTGCGGGGTCCGCGGATGTATCACAGTGAAAAGGCGGAGAGTTTACGAAGGGAAGGAGGTACGAAATAGTCCGCTATGTTTTGCAAATTTTTGTAGCGAAAGTCGGGGTTCTGACTTTCTACCTTTGTTCTTTTGGCCCACTGAACGATGTGCTATTAGTAAAATCCCAATATAAATTGATTTACTCCAGCCCAAAATTTGTTTCATGGGTCCTTTAAGAAGGGCAGGAGGTACGAAATAGTCCGCAGTGTTTTCAAATTTTCCTACCAAAAGTAAGGCTTCTGACTTTCTGCCTTCTTTTCTTTTGGCCCACTGAAGTGAACGATGTGCTATTAGTAAAATCCCAATATAAATTGATTTATACCAGCCCAAAATTCGTTTCATGGGCCTGTGGTGACACGGATCCAAACAAGAAACAACAATCAAAAGAAATAAAAGACGAGGTTCTCGAGGCGCGCACAATACGCACGCCTCGAGTCGGAGAACGCTTGAGAATTCGAACAGGTCGGATGCCTTGGCTCTTTCTTCCCCACAAGTGGTGACCCAGCCAAGTAGGCAGCCAGCACAGACGCGCTACAGCGTGTTTGTCCGCGAGTTGTTGGCTGCCTACTTGGCCGTGCGTCACTTCCGACACTTCGTTGAAGGAAGGAAATTCACCATATGGACGGACCATAAACCACTGACAAATGCCATCTCAAACGCAGTATCCCATCACACACCTCGGAAAATCCGCCATCTAGCTTTCCTGTCGGAATTCACGACAGACATCCGACACGTCAAAGGCGTAGACAGTGTGCCTGCCGACGTCCTCAGCCGTATTGACGCCGTCTCCTTACCACCGCTCCCAGACCCTGCAGAATTTGCTCGCTGCAGATCGAGGATGAGGAGCTCAAGAGGCTACGATCGCCATCTTCGTTGCAGCTGCAGGATGTCGCCTTTCCGGGTAACATCATTATCGCTTGCGACGTCACGACTGAAAAGCCCCGGCCATTCGTCCCTATTTCACTACGTCGAAAACTTTTCGACGCCACTCACTGCCTCTCACACCCAGGCGTTCGGGCAACACAGAGGCTCATGACGTCCAGGTACGTCTGGCCCCGCATAAAGTCAGACGTCCGGGACTGGGTACGCTCCTGTATACCCCGTCAGCAAGCGAAAGTCCATCGGAACACTGTGCCCCCGACAAGGACCTTTCTCCAACCCGATGCCCGGTTTGACAAGGTACATTTGGACCTGGTCGGGCCACTCCCATCATCACAGGGGTACCGCAACCTTCTCGCCTGCATTGACAGATTTACGAGATGGCCAGAGGCCACGCCACTGCAGGACATTACCGCAACCACTGTCGCCACCGCCTTTATCTCGACGTGGGTCTCCAGGTTCGGATGCCCTTCCGAGATAGTCACAGACCGTGGACGACAATTTGAGTCGTCGCTCTTCACAGAGTTAACCTGCATTCTTGGGACAACACGGTTGCGGACGACCGCTTATCACCCGCAATCCAACGAACTTGTGGAGCGCTTTCATCGCCATCTGAAATCGGCATTAATGGCCCGTGGAAGGCCTAACGAGTGGGTTTCCCAAGTGGCGATCGTGCTCCTTGGCGTCCGGACGGCCCTTAAAGAAGACCTCGGATGTTCTACCGCCCAGCTCGTCTATGGCACTCCTCTGAGGTTGCCATCAGATTTCTTCGAGGCCGACACACCATCGTCGACAAAGCCCGAACGAAGCTTACGCCGAGACCCTCAGAGAAGTGTTCGAAAAACTCCGACCAATTCCAACTCGAGTCGGGAATACCAAATCACCATACGTTACGGAGGACATAAACACTGCCCCCCACGTGTTCGTCCGACAAGAACATCACAGAAAGCCACTACGTCCTCACTATTAGCGACCGTTTCCCGTAGTACAGAGAAGGACGGACACGTTCGTCCTACGCATCAACGGGAAAGACGATGCGGTAGCCCTCCACCGACTTAAGCCTGCTCATCTCGAGGCTACTACACCGACATGCGACCTCCGGCCACGAAAAATTGTCAGTTGGAAGGATTTATGAAAACATCATATAAATCCTCCCAGAGGGGCTCATATCTGTGGTGACACAGATCCAAACAAGAAACAACAATCAAAAGAAATAAAAGATGAGGTTCTCGAGGCGCGCGCAAGACGCACGCTTCGAGACAGAGAACGCTTGAGAATTCGAACAGGTCGGATGCCTTGGCTCTTTCTTCCCCACAGGCCCTGTAAAGGGACACTTCAACGAAATTTGAAATATTCCTGTCGTGTTCAAAAATAGGTTGAATATGATCCACAATATCCGTAAATGACAATCGCACGTTTGTATTTTGAGAGTGGTGGCTGTATTTTTCGTTATAAACGGCCCACTCTGGCAAGCGCTCGGAGAAGGCCCAGCGGAGGCCTCGTGACATCCAACGCAATCGTGACGTAGGTCGTCTCAAGACGAGCAAAGCTACGGCGAGGCTGACGTCGAGAGGATGGCCTTGTCGTTCCAGCCACCGAAGCGGCTGCTTTTGTGCGAATTTTGAGTGACGGGTTAATCTTCTTTAATCTTGTAGGGGGACGATAGCGACTTCTGCGACACACAAAAGGCATTCTCAGGAAGAGGGGAGTTCCTCCTGCCCCTCTTCTCTCGTCGTGGCCGAAAACGAGACAACCTCCGTCACTAGCTGTCAAGGTTCCTAGACGGGCATTACAAGCGAGGCGTTAGCGACATCCACCAGGTGCTCTTTGCTAACCGTTTAATTCGTTTTAAAATTCCT